ATGGGCCTAATCAGCCCCAGACAATGGGAAGCCCCTTCCAGACCCCACAGCTAAACCCTAATGCAGACGTCTTCAGTCCTGCCAGAAGTCACATTCTACACACGAGTGTCAGCAATAGAGGTGATCTAGTACGAAGGAAGCCGCAGGAATTTGATGGAAAGGCACTGTGGGAAGCATAAAGAGCAAAATTTGAGCTCCTGGCAGAAATGAATGGATGGACAAAAAAGCAGAAAGCAGTGTACGTGGCAACCAGCCTGAAGGGACAACCACTGGAAATAATTGAACAGTTGTCAGCAGATGACAAGCACAACTATACAGCACAAGCAGCTGCTCTAGAACTCAGGTATGAAACTCAAAATCAGTCCGAAGTCTACAGGGCTAGGTTTAAGACGAGAGTCCATGCTAAAGGGGTGAGCCTGCAAGAGCTGGCACAGGATTTGAAGAGTATGGCACACAAGGCCGACCCAACTGCACCACCCGATGTCCTCAAGCTGTTTCTGAGGGATCAGTTTATAGACGCCTTGGACAGTCCACAACTGAAGATACAAGTCAAACAAGCACACCCCTCTACTATGCACGATGCAATGGCCAGAGCTCTTGAATTTGAATCCTACGTCAAGTCCAGCACAGACGTACCAAGGCTGGTACAGTCATCAGGATTCAAGGCCAGAAAAGGACAGCTCTCAGAGAAGTTTGAGAGACTTTGCTGGTACTGTAACAAACCTGGGCACAAGAGAGCTCAATGCCGGCAACTTCAACATAGGGAAGATGCCACGGCAGGATAGGCTGCTACCCAGAAAGTTTGTTAGAACTGTGGAGAGCAAGGACATATGATGAGCCAGTGTAAGAAGAATACTACCAATAAGTCAGCTTTGGGAAACCAGTAGTGGTTGGTGCTGAGGGAGGACCACCACCACCTATTGTGAAAGTCCCAACAGCTAAGTGTAAAATGGTGTCTATGTGACAGAAAAGCTAGATGGCCAAAAGTGCAACTTTGTCATAGATTCTGCATCTCAGCAAACCCTTGTGAGTATCAAGGTGTTAAATCACAAGAGAGTACCAGAAGCCATACAGAAGCTCTATGGTGTGATAGGACATTATACAATGTTGTGGGGACCAGTGTGGGTAACTATTGACCTCATGGGCATAAAGGACAGACACGAAGTATACTTGGCTAACATTGAAGACCCATACATATTAGGGTTGGACTACATACTACCGAGGAAGTGTGTAGTTAACTTTGATAAAATGACATTTAGGAATGACAAAGGCCAAATTCTGATAGGTGTTAAAAGAGAGGTTGAACTAACCTGGTGCCATCAAGCTGAAGTCAAAGTAACTGAAGGAGTTGATGATGGTGAAGTGGAACCAAGTATAGTTATTAAAGCAGAACAGGAGAAAGACCAAGATTTGAAGCCAATAACAGATTTTCTAC